AACTTTGTGAACAAATCCGCAAGATTATCACAAGACTTAGTTTGCAAGATTTCAATTTCTCCATTCTTTTGTAGTTCATGGGGATAGAACAATTTAGGATTAATATGTTTCGTCATATTACTCTTAATATAACTTGATTCCATCTGCAAAACACATGCCGCATTATCTTCAAAGGTAATGGTTGGTGTCTCAAGTGCACCAATACCACATGATTGCATTATGTGGTTTGTCATTCTGCGAAGCCATACGCACTCACATGATGCTTCGTATAAAGCAATTATTTCAGAATGATTGGTGGAAGTAGACACTAAAGTCTGCTTTGAAGACTTCCAAGATATTGCTGTTCCACCTTGCCAGAATACAAAGCCTATTTGTGATCTACCATTGTGGGGATCTGATAAATAGCCAACATCTTTATACCCTAACAAAATTGGATCTTGATTTCTGCTATAGAATAATACAAGATCTCTTGTGCCATTGAGATATCTCAAAACAGTTTTAACTCCTATGCAATGACGATTGGTAGGAGCAGCATTGTGTCTTGCTAGCAAGTTTACTGCGAATGCAATATCCGGCAGGGTGCTATTAGCAAGATACATTAGTGCTCCAACGGCACTAAGATATGGGACATGTGGCCCCCAATATCTCTTCTCCTTCTTCCCGTGGTCTAAAAGGATCCTTTTCAACATCTAAGGATCTCACTACCATTGGGGTTTTTGTTGGATATGACTTGTCCATATTGAATTTCTCCAATACTTTCTGGACATAGGCAGCTTGGTATATAAATATACTAGAACGAAAATGCTCATGATGTAAACCCAAGAAGAATTTGGTTTGACCCAAATCTTTCATTTCAAACTCCGTCTTTAAATGATGACATTGCAAAAGGCCCAATTTGGTTGTAAAAGGTAGATGTTCCAAAAAAATCACGTTCGTTGCCAATGGTAGCAAAAAGTCACGTTGCAATAATGTATTGCAAGTGTTGCTAGTTTGGTGTTGCAAGTGTTGGTGTTTCTTGCAACCATAGGTGTCTGTTGCCAAGCATGGCAATAGGACATTGACGCAACATTCACGGTCGTGTCAATATAAGCACATGCCACGTCCGTCTTCGTAGCAAGAGGTGGTACATGCAACGATCGATAGCGTAGCAATAGAGACAATTTGCCACGAACAATGTCGTTGCAATAGTCTGTATTGCCACGCTAGAATTTTGTTGTCTAAGGTGTTATTGCCATGACCGTTATGCCATGGCAAGTACACCATTTGCCACGCAATTTCATTCGTTGCGAGAGATCATACGTTATTGCCACGGTCGTTCTGCCATGGCAATAGTATCATTTGCCACGTAATTTTATTCGTTGCCATAGATCACATTGCCACGCAAGTGAGTTCATTGCCATATATCATATTGCCATGCACAGCAGCTCGTTGGCATAGTTTGTATTACAACGCTGGTAGCATTTGAATTGTGGTTTAATAAATCATCATTGCAAAAAACAATAAACCATAATAAAAGCGATTGCACTCACATATATTACTTATAACCAATCATTCAATAAGTTGACAAAGCATTGAAATAGTAGCTAAACTCATAAACGAGTGTACAGTTCACTCATTATTTCACAACTTCTTAAAACTTGCAGGAATACAAGAGTTCCTAACATCTATGTAGCACCTCGAGGTTTTCCTAGCAGCAACATGTGATCACCTTGGCAATGTCCTCGTTTGATTATCAGCCTCCCACTTAAACCTTGTCCACCTACTGACCAAAAGAATAAGATTGGGATATTAGAAAAATATTAGGTTTACTATGTCATGCACAAACTGTAAAGAGATTCAGATAGAACATGATTGTAATTAAGCAAAAGAAGAATTAATCAAAACTATGGAAGGAGTGCTGTCAATTTAATTAAGCAAAAGTAGAACTAAATATTAAGAAATGCTATAGATACAACCATTTTGCTGTCAAAGTATCTTAATTTTTAAGGCAACATTAGTACAGTTGCTTAGAAAAATCATAACTACAGTTCTAGACAACGAAAATGTATGTCATTTTTTGCTTTTCTTATTCGTACATAGCTTTTGCTACGCACCTAGATATGCATTATGTTTAGATACATTGTACAAACTATGTATCTAAAAAAAGTCAGAACGACTTAAAATTTGGAACAGAGGGAATATATACTTTGTGGAATTTCATAACGTGATTTAGTTCATTCGTGTTCTTATAATTGGAAGCCATTAATAAATAGGTTAAGGTCTGTGTGGCCCCATTGTGATAATAATAATTAGCTAAAAGAATTCATTATGACCCAAATAGCTAGTTTATGGATGGATTATTTTAATCAAAACACCATATTACAATAATCCTATAATCTATGGGAGACCTACTTTTTGGAGATTATGTATATGGACAATGTCACCCTAAATTTAGGGGAGGGGTAGGATTAGTTTACCACTAAATATAGGATGTTAGATAGAGGAACGGTTGGAGATCAGGGTGTTTTTTTTTTATGACATAGACCTTAATTTTGACTTTAGGTTGGATAGGAAACTCTTGGAGATGCCCTACCTGCTCTCTTGGTTCTAGGATTGGCTTGGACTACTGGTTTGCCCGCGAATCAGAAAGCACTTTCTTCCTAGGCTGTCTAATTCTATGTGATTATATATTAACTTATGGATAACTTATAGGTAGGGCCTTTTTCTTTTCCCCAAAACTAAATAAGTAGGAAATTGAATACTTACATTGTTTACGTAGAGATACATGGATGAATTCCGTACCTTGATGACAGGCGCCTTGTAGTTGTACACTCATTTCTCGGTCTAACCTTGGTCGCAATTTGCCATTGGTGCATCTTGCTGATCTTGGAGGTCGTCAGGTCAATACATAGCCAGGGATGCAATCTTCATATCAAGCATCTTAGTTTCTGCAGTAACGATCAACCACGAGGAGGCAATGCATGGAAAATGATTCATCCAGTAGCCACCGCGTGCCGCCATGCGGAGATGTACACACATGTACCCCATTAGGATGTACTTTCTCCTGCACCTTGCAGTTGGGGACCTTGCCACCACCCATGAGATAGATTTCTTCTGGCACACTATGATGAGAGTGCATGGCTGTGTGTGGCCTCCCAGCGCAGGCACACAGGACATATCATATCTTTGCGCCTGTTAATTGCAATGGCCGGCCTCATGCGGAGTTGCGGATGACGATGATGCTCCACATGCCTCACTGCACACAGATATAGATGATAGACCATGGCGGCCATAGGCTGAAAGCGATGCCCTAGGTTAGATTAAAAGGGTTCTCAGAAAACAAACGTCAAACACCAGAATTATGTAGATTTTATTTAAAATAATGGATTTATCTTTTTTCCTTTTTTATCTCTAATAATGGCATAGGTTGGTAATTTTTTTTAAAATAAAATAGATCTAATGGTTACAGATCGTGAGAGCCTATAGATTTAATGGTTAGATGTTTGTGATTAATGTGAGAATTTATAGCATTTATCCTTTTTTCTAGAGCGTCTGGTGAGAGTTAACGTGGAGGCTCCGTTGGGGCCTCCAATTAGTAATACAAATGGATTTATTTGTTTTCCTTTTTTATCTATAATAATGGTAGAGGTGGGTAATTTTCTTGAAAATAAAATAGATCTAATGATTACAGATTGTGAGAGCCTATAGATTTAATGGCTAGATGTTTCTGATTAATATGAGAATTTATAGCATTTATCTTTTTTCCTAGCGCGTCTAGTGAGAATTAACGTGGAGGCTCCGTTGGAGCCTCAAGATGTAGAAGTAAGTTGTAGTTTTTTTCATAGTGATCGGGTGGTAATTTAGGTACAAATTGGGGGGGGGGGGTTGATAATGACACATATGGGTATCTATATATGCATTTAGGGTGGTATTTTTCATCTTGCTTGACTAATTTTCAGTCACTGGGTACAACACCACATGGTTAAAAAGTGGGCAGCTAATGTTTAGTTGGATATATAGCCTGGGGCTAAACTTTAGTTGGATCCACACAGGCCTAAGATTCTTTCATGCCAGGGCAACGCAAGCTACACGCCTTTTATTTTGGGCCAGGATCAGTACGCGACGATCAAATGGCGAATGAGTTGTGCAGCAGCACTTGCAGTTTGGGAGGAAATAGATGATGCGCCTTCTCCCTGCGTCGTTCCAGATTGCTAGGTCAATGATTGAAAATAAAAGGCGGCACCGTATTGGCAAATGGCAAAAGGCTACAGGATTGTTTATCTATTTACTCGCTGGTTGTTGGCCTAATCCGTGGTGTAAGGCCTATCAATCTCAATGCCACAGAAGACAAAGAGCACTACTGGTTCTGCTTGTTGTTTGCTGGTGACAATCAATCAAGCAAGCTGTCACGCACAAAACTCGATCGAGAAGCCAACGAAGCATACTTGTGCTCGAGACTTTGTCTGCTTTCCTTTTCTACCCTGTCAGTTCTATGCATATCATTTCTCTTCAGCATTTTGTCCCCAAGACGATTCGCCTCTGCGTGCGCGACCTCGGCTTGGTTTGAAGACGCCGCCGCACCTCCTCCTCCTCCTTCTTCTTCTTCTGCTTCTCCTCCTCCATCACAGAAATTCGGTCCTGTTACTACCACCGCTGTAAGATAAGGAACACGTGCAGCCCTAGGGATTTCTTCTTCGTCTTTTGTTATCACTTCCTTTCTCTTGTTGGGAGCAGCAGAGTCGGCTTTTACCACGGCCAATAGTTCGAAACATAGTTGAGAGGCCAACAAAACTGGTCTTCGTCTCCTGAATCCTGATTTGAGAAGACATGCCCCTTTAGAACATGTGTTAGACCGTCCGTCTCCAATGGTTGGTACTACCTGCTAGATTTAAGGTCTATGTGCTGTATCGACCTTAACAAGAACTATCGTAAAACATCACTTCCGCCATGGCCTAACTTACTTCCAATAGCACTGCGTTTACAACCATCTATTTAATCCTTGTATTGCATCGCAGATCACCATGGTCGTCAAGGTTAACCTTGAATGCGAGAGATGCAACAAGAAGATCAGAAGGGTCCTGCACAAGATGAAAGGTACAGTATTGTAGTATAGGGTGGTGTTTGGTTGCCGCTCCTAAATTTTAGTTGCTGTCCTATCGAATGTTTGGACACATGAATGGAGTATTAAATATAGATTAATTACGAAACTAATTGCATAGTTTACGACTAATTTACGAGACGAATATTTTAAGCCTAATTAGTCCATGATTTGACAATGTGGTGCTACAGTAACATGTGTGGCGGATTAATTAGGTTTAAAAAATTCGTCTCGTGGAGTACTGACGGATTATGTAATTTGTTTTTTTATTAGTATTCGAACACCCCATGTAATATCCTCCCGACACACCTCCTAAATTTTAGTCACTGGATCCAAACTCCAGCTAACCCTTGCCACCATATTCAGTCATTCACCAATGCAAACGCCTCTATCTGCAGTCTGATAATGCCAATCTGCCATCACATGGCTGCATCAGCACCAATCCCCTCCCCACTTGTTGGGCTTAATTACCTGTCAGTCGCTTTTACAACTGTTTAGCAGTTCCATCTGTGCTGGTGATCATTGTTGATTGTGATTGACTGGGTTGCGCAGACAAGACGAACGTCAATACTATCTCGTTTGATGAAAAGAGGAATCTCGTGACCATCTCTGGCCCGTTCGACGCCGAGAAGGTCCGTCGGAAGCTCTGCTGCGAGGCTGGCCGGATCATCAAGGGTATGGACGTCAAAGCGCCCGAGGAGAAGAAGACCGAGGAGAAGAAGGACGGACGCATGGGAAAGGAGGAGGACGGAAGAAAGACTGCTGCGGCGCCCGCGGTCAACCTCCGCCCGCTGCTGGAGAAGATGTTGGAGCGCCCCAAGGCCAGGACCCAGCCGCCCGCCTGCACCTGCTGCTGCGGCTGCAGCTGCGGCCAGCAGACCACGCAGCCGCCAGCAGCTCAGGTCGTCGTGGCCGCGCCGTCCGTCTGGCCCGCGCCGGCCAGCTCCGTCTCCGGCCATGGCTACGAGGCGCCGTCGTCGTACTACGGCGTGCCGGTGTACAGCATCGAGGGGTGGTAATAATGAGGCGGCGACGGGCGGCTGCCGCACTACCACCACCACCAGCGGTGCTGCGAGGAGGACCCCCGACGGCGATGGCCATGGGCCATGGACAGTGACACTACCATGGCCAGTGCTAAATGGAAAGAAAAAAAAAAGAGGGATCACAAACTCTTATTCAATTATGTGTTGTCGCGTGTGGTTGTTTATGCATGTCTGCGGTTTTTAATTTGCTTGTGCCTTATCCCACAGTGCAAGCCAGTTATTAGCTCTTGATGACCTCGTACTTTATTTTATTTTATCCCTTGACGCCTTCTTCTGATCAAGACCGCCTGTAATCTCCTGCTCCTGGCCATGCCGGTACATATGTGTCTGAAAGATGCTGTTTGCTGCACTAAAATGCTGGGTCCATCTTAATCTTCTGATTCTGGATCGAGCTCATGTGTTGATTGTGACAGTACTATATATTCGTCTGTTGGCCATGGAATCCGCAAACTAGCTGGTATCACTACGGTATACACCAAAGCCCCAAAAATACTCGGCAAAGCATTTGCCGAGTGTTACACTCGGCAAACGACACTCGGCAAAGGTTTTAAGGGCAAAGAGCTGTTTGCCGAGTGTCAAACGTCGGGCACTCGGCAAAGACTATGCCGAGTCCAAAAAAAAAACTTGGCAAACATTTTTCGGAAAAAAAAGTCGCCGGCGGCACCACCAGCACCACCACCACAGCCGCCGGTCACCACCACCACCACCACCAAAGCCACCGCCGCCACCACGCCCCCCCCCCCGCTGCCACCACCACCACCACCACCACCACAGCCGCCGGCCACCACCACCACCACCATGCTGCCCGCCGCCGCGCTCCTCCCTGCTGGATCCACCATCGGAGGGCACCTCCCCACCGGATCCGCCGCCTCCACACTGCTGCTCCCCACCGGATCCGCCCGCCGCCACCATGGATCGGATCACCAGCGAGGGAGAGAGTGAGGGAGATGAAGAGAGGAAAAGAGAGGGAGATGGGGAGAGCTGACCTACCTCGGACCCATGCCGGCTGCCGCAACCCCATCGTCGCCTGATCCGAACCCCAACAGCCGGATCCGACGCATGCCGCCGTCGAGAGGCCCACACGCCGCGGATCCGCTGCCGTGGAGCTCCCCTTGGCCCTCCTCGCTGGATCCAATGCCAGCCGCCGTCGAGAGGACCACCCGCCGAGGATCCGTCGGCCTGGAGCTCACCTTGGCCCTCCACGCCGGCGGGGGAAGAAGGAGGGAGGGTGCCCCGGGGAAGAAGAAGGGGAGGGAGGGATGCCCGCCGGGAAGAAGAAGGGGGGGTGAGGGTGGGCCACAGCATGGGGAAGAAGGAGGGAGGGCCGGGCGCCCGTGGGGGTAGAAGGGAGGGAGGGAGCCATGGGGAATCAAGAAGGGGGAGGGGCGGGGGAATTAATTAGGATTTTTGTCCTTTGCCGAGTGTCCTAGATCTGGTGGCTCGGCAAAGTTTTTTTTTAATTTTTTTTTTCTTCTCCTTCTTTCTCAGAAAAAAGATTTTATTTCTTTGCTGAGTGCAAAAAATAAAACACTCGGCAAACCCCCTCTTTGCCGAGTGTTTTTTTTACACACGGCAAACCACCTCTTTACCGAGTGTTTTTTTTGCCAAGTGTTTTTAGCGCAGCACTCGGCAAAGAACTTGTTCGCCGAGTACCCGAGGGAATACACTCGGCAAACATAAAAACACTCGGCAAATTTGACGTTTCTGGTAGTGTATGTTGCAAATTAGAATTTATAGCCAACTAGCTCATCAGCACGGGCTAACAATCTTAAATAAAATATAGGAAATGCATAAGTGTATGGACAGTCGACTAAATCCTTATCCCTGTCTTTCCAATTTTCGACGGGACTTGATCGGAACATTTTTTTTAACATAAAAGGCAGGAATTCTGCATTTCAATTAAGATAGAAGATGAAATGTACAAAGTACAAGACCGTGGCCTTAAGGCCAAAGAGGGTACTTGATCTGAACATGCAACATGGCTGTCATGCTAATTATTATGCTCTCAATGTGATGAAGGTGACTAGACTAATAATAGTGGCTCTTATATATCGTCGCACTGGTATGCATGTGAAAGTACATATATGCCTGTAGCCTCATCCCAAATGTGCTCCAGTGTAGGTTAACCACATACTGTAGTGAAAACCATGCTTAGATCGAGAAACCCTTTGTGTTTAAGGAACACACCGAGCTCCATCCAAACTTTGCTGCTTAATTTGGTGTCTCCCCTTATTAGTGTAGGTTTTTCAGAGGCAGAGACATCAGGTATGATCCCAGTAGCACCAAGATAGACACATGCATAACTAAAAGGATCTGTGTAATTACAACCATAGGTGAGCAGAAGGCAAGAAGTTTGATTTCCATGCATGCTCCGTCTAGAACTAACTCTTCCACACTATGTGGTCTGCCATGTCGGGCCTATACCTGCAACGACTGTAGTCATCCCAATTAAGGAAGTGATTGTCGAGCGAAAAATTATCGATGGATGAAAAGTGACTGATGTGTATTCTCTGATGAACAGTGTTTGTACAAATATAAAAGCCCAATGGGCGGTTGCCTGTTGGCGAAAAGGTGCCTTTCTATGCCTATTCTGCAATTGTCATTAGCATAGGAGTTGCTAATGATGAGATTAACATAAATTGATCACTAAATAATAAATCTTAACACTCCTCCTTGATAAATTGGTTCCTTGTAGGCATCATTGTGTGTTCATCAATCATCATTTTGAAGCATTGGAAAACCCTGTGGGAAAAACCAAAGAGTATCGATAAACCAGGCAAAACTCTTTAAAACCCTGTGGGAAAAATAAGGAAAAACACCATGATATATATAACTCCTAATGTTAATAGACCCTTTAGGTGGCCCCAAAGACATAGTCTAAAAACAATTTGATCAACGATCAATATGTCATAAATATTATCTTCAAAAAACCACTGTAGGGAAAAATAGATAATATGACATCTACTATGTGTTGACATCGCGTCATTAAAAACTTTATACGAGAAATCTCCAGAAGTGTAAAACTCACATAAAGAAAAGAGTGCAATGTGATGTCTGAATACAGGTTATGATTTAGAGAGATTTTCCCCTTGATTCTTGCAAGTCCCTAAGCCTTCTCATACCAATTCCTTCAACACATTTATGGAATGTGGAGTATGGTAGAAACTTTGTGAACAAATCCACAAGATTATGACAAAACTTAGTTTGCAAGATTTCAATTTCTCCATTCTTTTGTAGTTCATGGGGATAGAACAATTTAGGAATAATATGTTTGGTCATATTACTCTTAATGTAACTTGATTCCATCTGCACAACACATGCCACATTATCTTCAAAGATAATGGTTGGTGTCTCAAGTGCACCAATACCACATGATTGCATTATGTGGTTTGTCATTCTGCGAAGCCATACGCACTCACATGATGCTTCGTATAAAGCAATTATTTCAGAATGTTTGGTGAAAGTAGACACGAAAGTCTGCTTTGAAGACTTCTAAGATATTGTTGTTCCACCTTGCCAGAATACAAAGCCTATTTGTGATCTGACATTGTGGGGATCTGATAAATAACTAGCATCTTTATTCCCTAACAAAATTGGATCTTGATTTCTACTATAGAATAATCCAAGATCTCTTGTGCCATTGAGATATCTCAAAACAATTTTATCTCGTACGCAATGACGATTGGTAGGGGCAGCACTGTGTCTTGCTAGCAAGTTTACTGCGAATGCAATATCCAGCTGGGTGCTATTAGCAAGATACATTAGTGCTCCAACGGCACTAAGATATGGGACATGTGGCCCCCAATATCTCTTCTTCTTCCCGTGGTCTAAAAGGATCCTTTTCAACATCTAAGGATCTCACTACCATTGAAGTTTTTGTTGGATATGACTTGTCCATACTGAATTTCTCGAGTACTTTCTGGACATAGGCAGCTTGGTATATAAATATGCCAGAACGAAAATGCTCAAGTTGTAAACCCAAGAAGAATTTGATTTGACACAAATCTTTCATTTCAAACTCCGTCTTTAAATGATGACATTGCAACAGGCCCAATTTGGTTCCAAAAGGTAGAAGTTGCAACCCAATCGTGTTCGTCGCCAATGGTTGCAAAAAGTAACGTTGCAATAAGGTATTGCAAGCGTTGCTAGTTTGGTGTTGCAAGTGTTGGGGTTTCTTGCAACCATAGGTGTCCGTTGCCAAGCATGGCAATAGGACATTGACGCAACGTTCACGGTCGTGGCAATATAAGCACATACCACGCCTGTCTTCGTAGCAAGAGGTGGTACATGCAACGATCGATAGCGTAGCAATAGAGACAATTTGCCACGAACAATGTCGTTGCAATAGTCTGTATTGCCATGCTAGAATTTTCTTGCCTAAGGTGTTATTGCCATGACCGTTATGCCGTGGCAAGTACACCATTTGCCACGCAATTTCATTCATTGCGAGAGATCCTATGTTATTGCCACGGTCGTTCTGCCATGGCAATAGTATCATTTGCCATGTAATTTTATTCGTTGCCATAGATCACATTGCCACGCAAGTGAGTTCATTGCCATATATCATATTGCCACGCATAGCAGCTCGTTGGCATAGTTTGTATTACAACGCTGGTAGCATTTGAATTGTGGTTTAATAAATCATCATTGCAAAAACCAATAAACCATAATAAAAGCGATTGCACTAACATATATTACTTATAACCAATCATTCAATAAGTTGACAAAGCATTGAAATAGTAGCTAAACTCATAAACGAGTGTACAGTTCACTCATTATTTCACAACTTCTTAAAACTTGCAGCAATACAAGAGTTCCTAACATCTATGCAGCACCTCGAGGTTTTCCTAGCAGCAACATGTGATCACCTTGGCAATGTCCTCATTTCATTATCAGCCTCCCACTTAAACCTTATCCACCTACTGACCAAAAGAATAAGATTGGGATATTAGAAAAATATTAGGTTTACTGTGTCA